GATTGTCCTTGAGTTACTGTGTGAATTTGTATTGGAAGCAAAGGGATGATTCCTGAGTACTCCGTCTCCCACAAAATAACATAAAAGGGTAAACACTCTCAGGAATTAGGTGAAAGCAATGATCACCAAGAAAAGGTTGTTCAAGTAATGACCTTTGTGTGCAACCATAACATGCATTCTCTTTTACCACTAAATAACACAAGTATGGGCAACAAGATAATGTCCCACCCAATTTTGCCATTTTACATTGTCAAGAATACCCTTTTGCACCCTCCCCACCCAAAAAAATAAGATAAGTATTGTTTTCAACTTCTCTTGGGGCAAACAAAGTTCATTAATTTATGGGTCCTTTTTGCTTCCAAATCAGGCATTCTGTGAGGAAAAGACACTAGCCTTACTCGCTAACCTAGCTAGCCATACAGGCCAAGCCCCAGGCTATCACTGTGCCTTGCTTGACAAAAATAAAGGAACATAACTAAATAACGGTATCTATGACTGGAAGTACAAGTTCAGTTAAAAATTCCTCAATATAAATACAACAAATTACAGAACACAAACCTTGAAGGCCAAGTAAAATGCTTTGTCAAGTGCAGTCACGACGTCTTGGTTGGGAATCCACGTGAGTTTGCCCTTCTCTCCCTTACCTTCCTCATACTGTTTCAGAGCTACTAGGATTGAGAATGGATGGACACGTGCATCTTTAAGGTTCTTCTCACTCTTTAACATCTCACAGACCCGAGCTGCTCCAGCTGATAAAGGTGCCAATACTCCAACATTGGTCATTTTACCCAGATTTCTTATCATAGCAGTTATAGGCATGTTTTCCAAAAGAGCCTCCCAAATCTGTGGTAGGTGAACAAAACATGTTTAGATATTATACATTGTATAAGAAAAAATACACAGACTCTCCAATCACCAAGAGGCAACAATCTTGAGATTCTGGACCTAGAGCTGGAAAAAGTGGTGAGAGGTGGGAAAAAGTCGCGAGATGTCCCAAATTTCTAGGTGGAAGGACTCCAAGCAGGGATAATGGGTTTAGAAGGCAAAGTATCATTTTAAAGCTGGAGCAGTAAACACCACGACCAATCTTCTTCATCGCTGCTGACATGCACATGTCTGTTGGTGGCCATCGTAAAATGAGGGATTTAGGTTTACTTGTGAGTGAGTGACAGCGGCAAGTCACGACAGGGTTTGTGATAGGCTGAAGAATGGAAACAACACACCAAATCAGCAATTTACTTATTTACCAAAAAAATGAGACCGCTAAGCATTTCTGTCAGATTGGATTTGCTATCCAACTTGGAAATGAACCCTACAGACGCTTCAAATACTTTTTAAAGTGAGCATGAGATAGGTAGTGACAAGGCGACACTTACAACAAACTTGGTAAGTCTGAATACATAACATCATCATCATCATCATCATCATCATCAGCTGTTTGGTTGCTCATATGCTGCATTGTTTGTTTATTAATTCTCTCTCAGATTCACTGTCTATAGATCTGTCAATCAGTTTGTCAGACAACAACAAGTCATTTAAGCACTTAATAAAATCTCCTTAGACTCACCTTTCTAGAGCTGAGATAGTTGGTAGGAATGTGTTCCCGCACGAGCCCATGTTCTCTGATTGCTTGTACCAACTCAGTTTTGCTCATTGATTTGGCTTCTTCCACTGCTTTTAAAAAGTTGTACACTGAAAGGACATCTTGGCTGACACCAGGTGTCGCTGCTGCATCAAAACCTTTAATCACGTACTTTACAATAAACTGTGTAGCGGGGTTAGTCGGTTTTACGTGACATAAACGGAACAAGTCACGATGCGACCACCCATTTCTCTGTTTGTACTTGGTCACGGCAACAGCTAGAGCTCGCGGTTTCTTCTCTGTGTACCATCTCTGGATTGCTTTCTTGTGTGCTCGGCCCCAGCCGGAGGACTTTGGCTTGCTCAGCTTCTCGCAGAATTCAGTGAACGAGAAAAGATGTGTAGGAATGCGCAGAACTTGCGCGACAGCAGCATACGCTGCACGTTTCGTCTCCAAGTGACTTGAACGAGCGCACATAGCTAAGGCCAAAATGATCGGGTCTTGTTTGGCTGTACGACCATCGGTGCTGTATTCAACGATAATTTTTACCGCCTCTGGGCCACGACCTTCGGTGATAATTCTCAGCAAGGCCTGAGCGTTCTCTTGTCCAAGTTTCTGCTCCGTGGCATAGTAAGTACCGCCTTCGCACCCAAGCACAAGAAAACGCCTTAACCTCTCCATGTCGTTCACTTTCCACACAAAGCCGCCTGCTTCGTTCTTTACCTGGGTTGTTGCTGCCAGAGGATGGGACTGCGGTTCCGTTTCCGACGCTGGAACCATTTCTACACCAATGGGTTTCTGGAAACTGTTTCGTGACATTTTCCAAGTCCCTTGGAATTAGTCTTAAAATTTCGTCTACTCTACACTCTGCTGAGTGGTCTGTAGAGTATAAGCGGACTGTTGCGATGAGATTTGATGCTTCTCCTTTCGCTTTCAGTCGAAATATGCTTACGAAAACGAAACCTCTCAGTTTTAAAAGCTAAACCCCCCAAAAAATATGGCTGACGATGCAAATATCCCAGGCTGTTTTCCATTTTGGACTTTACTGGCGGGTTTCTCCTTTTCTTCCACTGTTTTAAACCATATTACCTCTTAAGGAAACATCGTCTCTAGCTCACTTTGAAAACTTCACCAGCACACTTCCATCACAAAAATATTGAGTTTTTCAAACCGGATATCGGCCGACAGGCGACAGAAAAACTGCGATTAAGAGGAAGCAGTGAGGGGACTGGGCCTAATGTTGCGCCACCGCGTGAAACGGCTCCCCGCGTTAATTCCGGCGTTCGCATTGCGCTTCGCCTGGCCATTGCCGTTGCAACGCGGTCGGTTTGTGTTGCAACTTATGTAGCCAACCTCGTCTCCAGGGTCCTCTCGCTTTCCAATATGGGGACGAGGTTGCCTGCGTAGCTGGCCGTTTTTTTGGTGTTCTTTTCACAGTCAAAGCAGCGCCAATGCTGAGCCAAAGTCGAAATTGAACCCCGTTCTCGGTTCAGCTTTCGTACGGTATCTCTTACTTTACGAACCGAAAACGCACACACAAACACACACACACACACACCAAAAAACCACCAGCTACGCAGGCTAAGAGAATGTGGGCGGAAGATGCGTGCGAGAACTGGAGCCATTCTCACGGCAAAGCGCAAGAGGCATGCTAGTTTAAGGTACGCTTATTAATAAAGGCGCGTTGAAGTCCTAACTCTTTTGGCTACAAAACTTTGCTAAGAACTTTAGATATCATTCAGCACACGATATCAAATAATCCGATTTTCCTGGTGTTTCTACGAAATTAGCCGTTGAGTGGACCTTACTGTACAAAGAAAATCGCGTCTAGGAATACATTTTGCTGATATTTTGTACCATTTTCGGGTATTGGTTTTTATTGACATGATAAGTATGCCATATAAATTTCAGAGTAATCGTTGAACCAGAAGTCCTCGACTAAGAAGTCCTTCAAAATTCGTAGTTTCGTAAGGTCCCTAGTAGGAAGCTTAAGCAACGACTACGGCGACTTCAACGAGAACGGCAAAAAAGCAAAGGTTTAGCTTGGCAAAACAACAGCGTCTTTACGTGCGTCACGCTTTTTTGTACATTTCCTTAAAGTCACTGCACGACTACTCTCTCTCTATTATTATTTCTGGTCTATTTATTTATTTTTCGTGGGATGTCTGTAAATTAGCTAATTAGCTAAGAACATTGACCACGTTAAATAAAGGGTATTGTATTGTATTGTACTGTATTGTACGACGTGAAAGTGCCTAATTCCCGTTTTATGGAGGACGTAATAAACACAAGACAACGACTTCCTCTTTCTTTTCCTGAGCTTTGATACAAGGGTGGCGTAGTAGTGAGAGCACTCACCTCCAACCAATGTGGCCCGGATTCGAATCCTGGAGTCGACGCCATATGTGGGTTGAGTCTGTTGTTGGTTCTCTCCCTTGCTACGAGAGGTTTTTCTCCGGGTACTCCGGTTTTCCCCTCTCCTTAAAAACCAACACTTTCAAATTCCAATTCGATCTGGAACGCACGGACACGTTTCAATGAGTTCTTATAAACTCCTTAGTGATCCGTGGGTAAACAAATTACAATTTACAATTTACAATTTACAAATACAGTCTTTTAGAATTCAACTCAAGTGAAACTTGTCAATATTTGATGAATTGAACGAGATGGAATAAGCGCAATAAAGTTTGATGCAGCGGGACTTCACTGTTTAAGTGACGTTTTCGTGGCCGTCGCCGTCGCCGTCGTTGCTTAAGCTCCATAGTTTCGTAAGGCCATGGTATCGACGACGGCGAGGGCAACGAAAACGTAATAACGTCACTTTTAAAAGGAATGGGCTTTTTTTCAAACTTTGTCAAATGTAGGCGAATTTCTCTGGAGTTGATTTCTTGGAGACCGCCGGCACTCAAGTTTAGAAAGAGAAAGAAAATTCTTCGTCGCACGCGTCCTCCATAAAACGTGAAATTAGGCATTTTCAGCTATTTTCACGTCGTAGTCGTGCAGTGAGGGCAAAGAAATGTACCAAAAAGTGTGAGGCACATGCAAAGTTGTTGTTTTGCTTCACAAACCTATTGCTTTTTTGACGTTCTCGTTGCCGTCGCCGTCGTCGTTGCTAAAGCTCCCCAGTATCTTAGTATCTGCAGCATGAAACGCGCGCATGCGTGGAAGGTTATCATTCCAAACCACCACGACCGAGGGTCAATTGTTTTTTCTACGACAACGCTTGCTAATGCTGATTAGCATAGGTCAGCCATTTAAATGTAGTTAATTCATTAATAAGGCCACCTGCACGTTCTCACATAAAATCCACCTGTCCTTTCAGCCTTTTTTCTTTATTATGCCGGTCTCAATGTCTTATCAGCGACCAACAAAAAGCAGGATTAAATAATACTCATGGCAAAATAATTTTTTGGTAGCCATGCTTAAATCCGTCACTAAGAAGTTGAAGCCCTTTATCGAAGCCAAACTTAACGAGGAGTACGTCTCCATAGCGAACGATGCAAATTTGTACTGTCTTGATTACATCGAGGAACGATTGAAACGCTCAAATATCGAGTCTGATCTTGAATTTATCCGTCCTCAAGCCGTGTCCGAAAAAATTACCTCCATCTCTGCAAAAATAATCGAAGTTGGCGAGCTACTGGAGACTTGCTACCCCCATCTGTACAACAACGTCTCTAAACAACTTAAGGTGAAGCTTCGAAGCGAGGTGATCGTTGGTGATATTTTCCGCAACTTTGGCCGCGAACTCTTTCGAGAGGGAGTCACATGGGGAAGAATCATCGCGTTGTTCGCATTCGCTGCGGCTGTAAGTACAGACTGTATACACCAGGGACGACCCGAGCTGGTTAAAACAGTGTTAAACTGTGTGCGGCTATATGTACTGGATCATTTGGCGGTTTGGATTAGAAGTCAGGGTGGCTGGGTAAGCTTTCAGTATGATTTGTCCAAAAGTTTGTGTAAATCTGAAATCTTAACATCGAGTATAGCCCTTTTCAAGGAAACTATATTTAAGTTCTTCTCTGTTGCGTGAACTAAAAAACAGGAGCAAAACGATATTTTCCGAAAAAACCTTAAGGAAAAAAATACAAATAAAGGGGTTATCTGTTCTATAGCAACAATGACTAAAGTGTTTTCTACGATCAAAGCTCGCGTGGACACGATTCAAAGTTTACGAGTAAACAGACGTTATTTTTCGCTCGATATACTATCAATGAAAAAATAACACACAGCGAGGAAAAAATCCAAAATTTTTTTCAGTGTTTGAATATTTATGACTAAATTACTTGATTTCTGCCCTTTCGGGCATTAAGGTAATATCAGTAGTTTTTAAAATTTTTGAACACAACTCTGGATGAAGTTAATTTTTAGAGAGAAATAAAACCTGAATTCTTAACCGAAATGCAAACTATAATCAGCCTTTCTTCTTTATAGCAGCCAGTAGAGTAATGAGAGAATAGAAAAAAAGTGACAACGAAAACAAAAGAACTATTGAAACATTTGCATATATCATTAATCCTCCCTTTACTGTCTAAAAGGAAAATGATGATGAGTATGCTCTCTTATTTCAACATCAAATATAAACACCGGACACAATCAAAAGAAAAGAAAAAAACTTGACGTATTCAAACAAGCAGAGCTCGTTTTACTTCTAGCTAATTTTGACAACGTTATTTCCGAAGATCGTCGAAACGCCACAAGGGGCTTTATGATAATTTCCCTTAACTTTCAGGATATTGTCGAAGGCGCTTTTTTTCACGCAAAGTTGGGTTTCGCTAGCGACGAGTCGAAATAAGGCTTCATGGGCTTGATGGAATCGGAATCAGAACGTTTTTAATGCTTTACTTTTACGCTTATGACCCTGTTTAATAAATAAATAAAGTGACGTTCGAAGTTTCAGAATTATCAATCTCACTGATTGACTCCATGCGGTTAATATCTTGTCATGCAGTGAGCTAGGATAGTAAAGAAATGTACCAAAAACTATGATGCATGCAAGCAAGAGACTATAAAGGGGACAGAGAGGCCATCCCCCATATACACCCTATTCCATAGGTAATTCGTCTCGAGTTATTTTTAGAATCGGGATAAAGTTTCCTCGCGCGAGGCGTGGAGGTTTCGTGGAGGTTTCGCATGACCAAACGCTGTGCAAAACATGTCGGACGAGAGGCAATGAAAGCGTAAAAAGATCGAGAGCATTCCTGAATATTGAAGCGAAATGAGTCGGCGCTCACCTGGGAAAAAGGAATCGCTGGACTCTTTGACAACGCGTGAAATCAGTTTAACTCGAAGTTGTCGTAACCTCAGTGCTTTAATAAAATGAGAAATTTCGCCGGTCTATTGAAACCGGTCGTTTGTACAATTTAGGGAGTTTAAGATCCAACGACGCGGACGACAACTAGAACGTCAAAAAAACAATAGGTTTAATTAGCAAAACAACAACTTCGCACGTGCAACACACTTTTTTGTTCATTTCTTTCCCGTTTTTGCACGACTACGACGTGAAAATGCCTAATTTCGCGTTTTATGGAGGACGTAAATAAGCAACGACGAAATTTTATTTCTCTTTCTGAGCTTGAATATGGTCCCTTGAAATTCAGCTTTAGGAGGGTTCGCCTACAATTGACAAAGTAAGTGGGTAGGAATAATCGCTATAAAGACTGAAAAAAATAAACATCAAACCAGAAATTGCTCTCTTCAAACTGTAAATTATAAATGATCCTGAGAGAATATTCAGTGTGTTAAGGATTTCCCTGCTCTACTGTTAGCTCTATACAAGAGAGGAAGGGCGATTCTTTTTTAATTTCGGTTTCGCTGACACAGCTTTCGCAGAAATCTCGCTGTAGTCGTTTTCGTCGACAAAAGGAATAGCAAAATCGCTCTCCGCGTCTTCCCCCATTTTGTTCTGCGTCATTTCGTGAAGGACGCGTGGCTCTCAGCGTGGGTCATCCACGCGGAACACATTCGCGCTATGTGATTGGCTGTTGTTTAATCCCCCTCGAGATCTGTTGTGTTAAAAATAACTCAAGACGAATTACCTATGGAATAGGGTGTATATGGGGGATGGCCTCTCTGTCCCCTTTATAGTCTCTTGATGCAAGTTATTAATGTCACTCAGAACGAGAGTCTTTGTTACCGTTCATGTGACAAGGGTGTACCACAATTTCAAACTTTTTTCCAATCTGTTTAGTCTCAAAAATAGAGGCTAATCAAAACGGGAAGCGAGACGTCACATGGCGAAACCAAATCTCGTATCCAGAGTCCTCGGGCTCTTTGGTCAGCGGGAATTCGCCAGGTGTAGTCGTGAAATTGGACAAAACCGAGAACCCTGCTTGATTTGCGAATACATACAACATCAATGACAGAAATGTGATGGGGAATTTTAAGTCTGGTGAAAACATGAGAAAGAAGTTTATTCAGTCCGCGACACGGACAGCTCAGAAGGAAAAGTCTTCTTCCAAGCCACCTGTGTCACTGGTCGCTGCAGACTGAATAAACATCTTTGTGATATACAACCGAAGGAAAGTCTGTGTTATCAAAATGCAATTATCCACTTATTACTTAGCTCTTAAGGAAATAAACAATACTTAACTTCTGTTCTTTTTCTTTAACAGATTGATTTGACGGAAAAGTTCAAGTGTATAGAGAAGCGATATACAATGACATTCTTTATTCGGTGGTTTGGCCAAAGTTCTTCTTGGTTAGTTCACACAATGAAGGATAAACTATTATCACTACTTGATAAAATAGGTGAATATATTGGTCTTATAAACAGTGGCTAGCTAACACATTGTAGGCTGTTTACAGTCCCTATACTTCCGGATAAGATCGTCCAGATCCATTAACAGGCCGCAGCTTAGTTACAAATGCACCGAGTATAAGTTGAGGAGGAGAGGCAAATCTAAAAATAGCGCCTATTCCCCTGACATCAGTACACACCATCGCCTGCCGCCTTGCCATATTTGAAACCAAGATGGTCGCTTGCATTGTAATGATGAATTTACCCTTAGCCACCCTTGGTGCTGATCAAACTGACTGCAGCCTCTGGGCAAGAGATTGGGCTGCCTGTTGTAGTAAACCGTCGATCTTACGGAAGAAAAGGGGACTCAAAACTTCTGGAAATAGTCTAAACACATTACATCACATGTACAAAAATTCATTTATCATTTGTAATATATTTTTGGTTGGATTTTTGAAAACGTTACTGTCCGAAGTCCTTGTCGCTCAGCAAACTCTCCAGAGTAGCAAATATAAAAACTAAGAGTTCAAACTTGTGCTTTTTTTCTCTTTTACTCTCCTAGCTTTTCCTTCTCCTTCCGTGCTGTGATTTTTGGGCTTATCGGATGTAAGAAACTTGAAGTTTTTGTCTTTTTCAGTCAAATGCCTGCAATTTTCGCTAGCTACGTTTTCAACTATCCAGCTAGATTTAAAACACATTAACATCTTTACACGTCCCTGACAAAATAATAGCTAAAAGACAAATATATCTACATTGTACTCGAGTACGTGTAAAAAATGTACAAGATTACCAAGCGCGGATCTATGATAAATGGTGACCGATTTCCGAAAACGAGCGCTGAAGGAGCTGCTTCTATGAGAGTGCTAGCGGCAAGCTCTCAAGGGACGATTTAATCTCCATTCAAGGGAGCAAGTTCTGGGTCATTTGGACAAGACTGGACAAACTTATTAAAACCATTTTCAAGACTCTAACTTAGACATTTACTTAAATGAAAGAAAATATATTTATTACGAAAAACCTGACCGGCGTCTGTTTGGAAATCGGCATGGATCCGCGACTGATAAAATAATTAAGTATGCATAATTGTTGAGACGAACACCTCTTCCTTAGACTGCCACAAATACTGTCCGTAGAAAGCTATCAAAAGAGATAGATAGATATGTGACTCAAAAAATAGAGAAGAATAATGGTTTTACTTTCATTCAGGCACACAAAATATATTCCATAGCTTAAAATAATTCTTTCATTTGTAATTTTCTTAAAAATAAATTTATATTTTATATTTCAATATTTGTTCATTCATATACAATTACTGACACCATTATTCTCATACACGTAAATCATGTTTCCACAATTAATATTCACCATATCTTTTGACCTATCTCAATATTCAATTGAATACCAGTTCCAAAGAAAGCGAGTTCTCAAAGTCGCTTTTAATTTACTAACTATTTAATATCATTTTATAAAACTTTCTTAACTCTCACGTTAAGCAATGTTTTATGGAACCCACCCGCAATAAAACGATTACTAAGTTCGGTTCCTCTGCTTGTCTATAAACTCTGAACGGCTAGATACTAATGAACTTTAAGCAGTTCACCAAATACAAGTATTTTGAATTGACCCAACCGGCCTTTAGCGCGAGACACTTGTCTGGTGGAGAATATAACTTACTGGAAGCAATACATAGTTGTTGGTCCAGCAGAGGCTCGCGGGCAAATTACTCAGTTTAGACATATGATGATACAGTATGTAGCTCATTTAAAAAAAGACTGGTGAAGAAGTGAGTATAATACATCTTTCTTAGCTGATGCTAAGCTCCGAAACAAATGAAAATTAAAACATAATTGCATAATTTAAAACCAAACATGAAAAGAAGCAACATGTATTTTTTAGTGGAACATATGCAATAATATTATAATTTGCACATACGGTTCAAGCCTGTTCAGCCTGGTTCATTCAGAATTTTAAGAGCCTGGTTTTCCTTGTTTGAATAATAACCAGGCTTGCCAAGCTTACCAGGAATACCCTGGTTAATCAGGCTTGCACATACACATACGGTAAAGTCTGGTAAGCCTGGTTCATTTAAAACTTTAAGAGCCTGGTTAAAGTGTGGTTTTCCTGGTGACAGAGCTGAACAACGTCTGCGCATGTGCAGAGACGGGAGAGGTCTGGGATCTAAACTAGTATCGTTTGCAAAAGGATTTTCAAAACATCCTTACATTTTGGCGAGTAAGGTGGATTCTGAATATTTAAGGTTCCCATTTAAAGTAAAGGTAGATTATTTCATACTTTATTCATTTCTCCCTTCTACCGTTGTAATTTTTCTTCTACTTTTTTTCTGTGAGCATAAGAAGACGCACGAACGAAGCGTCCCTGCTATAATGGTATCGTTTGCAAAAGGATTTTCAAAACATCCTCACATTTTCCCGATCTTTAAAATGATTTCCGAATATTCAAGGCTCCTATTTAAACTAAAGGTAGATTATTTCATACTTTACTGAATTCACGTTTCTACCTACGTAATTTTTCTTCCGTTTTTTGCTATGAAGAAAAGAAGATGCACGGACGAAGCCGAGAACAGTTCTCTCATTCGAATCGAATGTGTACCTGTTCAAGCGTAAACAGAAGTGAAAGACAGACTATCAACATGTTATCACTTCTAAGAAATCGTCCGGACATCTCTTATCAGTGTCAGCATTAAAGGTACATTTTGATATTTATCTTCATTTTTCCATGAATAATCGCTTTTTAGTTGTTTCTCTTCTTACGTCTCGCTAGGTTACTCCCTTGTTGAGAAGAGAAAACGACTCGAAGCAATCGGATGAATTTCAGGCTACTGTGAACGATTTTGGAAGAACATTTCCCAGTGCCAAGAAATACTGCTGCATGTAAAATAGGTAATGGTGTCATTCCGCTGCTATGACAACTCAGATGTCATTGCGACCCTGATCATGACAAATTTTCATCTTTATCTAATACAATTGTGGTGGCAATTTTTCGAAATCCTTGTTTATAGCGACGTATTTTATGCTCAAACTTGGGAGGTATTGACCCTGAAAAACTGTATCGAGCCACCTTAAAGCGACCATGTAACAATGCCATTCCGATGAAGTTTTACAATTTTAGTCGCACACGGACGTTGAGAGTTTTAATTTTTCTTAACAAACCTGCTAATCGTTTTCAAATTCTCTCGTTTCCGTCGTCGCCGTGGCTGCTCACGCTCGCTAGTAGCGTTATAGCACGCAAAACAGTTCTTGATATTCGACGATAATATGTTGGAAAAATCGACGATTTGATGGAAACGCGCAACAAAACTACTTACTTATAGACAGCCTCTTTGCTCGTGGATATTGAGAGAAAGTGGCCGGGGAATTCATTCGGAGCAGAATGGAATGAGGAATTGTGTCAAACGCCAACTGGTGAGGGTTCCCAAGTCCCTGTCCAGGGACATGCGTGGTAATAGTTGACGCCACCGTAGCCTCCATCAATTTTCCTAGCACACTTAGAAGCGAAATCGGCCTGTAATTATGCTTATCAGTTTCATCGTCACTTTTATAGGGAGCTGAAATGTTTACAGCCTTCCATGTAGCGGGTACAGTGTTGCAGGTAAAGCTTATATTAAACACAGACAACAAGGATGGAATAATTGAGTCACCAGCAAACTTTAAAAGTTTTTGGTCAACACTGTCGGGTTAAGAGGCTTTATCAGCCCTCGACAACTTAGCCATCCAGCTAGTTGACAAAACCCTCATACGATAAATTTATGTCTTGTAAATATAGGTGTGAAAAACATGTTCTCTGCCTTACCTTTATGATTTTCGTCACGAGGACCATCATAAGCTAACCATCCTGATTCTGAAAAAGCAGAAGGCAGTTTAAGCTCAGGTACAACGCACGCATACACGACATACACGAACGGCAGTTTAATTTTGCTGATATCTAGTTCACTGCATGTTATCTGGGAGGCTGAAAATGAAAGTATGAAAAAGTATAATTATGATTTTCGTGTAGCGGACCGTCATAAGCTAACAATTCTGAGTGATTCTGAGTCTGAAAAAAAGGCAGTTTAAGCTGGCAACTTAACTTATACGTACACAACAAGCAGTGTCAATTTGCTGATATCCAGTTGTATACAATCCGAGAGGCTAAAAAGAAGTAACTATAAATATCGAGAACATATTCTGATATCCGCCGATGAGCTTGTTACAAATATTATGATACAAATGGAGAGTAATCACAGGTCGAGTTAATTTTAACCGATAATAAAAACTCAGTGAGACTAATAAAAACCGCTTTGGGGCAAAGTTGGCATCATATCACCATCGAAGTGAATGTTATGTGGTCAGCCCATTACTGGAACAGCCTTGAACAGGACGATAGATATATAATATAACATGAAATCAAGAGAGGATAAAGGGGACAGGGAAGGCATCCCCATACACACCCTATTCCATAGGTAATTTGTCTCGAGTTATTTTTAAGACGACAGATCCCAAGGGTGATTAGACAACAACCAATCACATAGCGCGAATGTGTTCCGCGTGGATTACCCACGCTCAGAGCCACGCGTCCTTCACGAATTGACGCTGAAAAAAATGACTGAAGACACGGAGAGTGATATTGCTATTCGTTTTGTCGACGAAAACGACTAAAGAGAGATTTCTACTAAAGCGGTGTCATGCGAAACCTCCACGCAGCGCGCGAGGTAACTTTATCCCGATTCTAAAAATAACTCGAGCCGAATTACCTATGGAAAAGGGTGTGTATGGGGTATGATGCCTTCTCTGTCCCCTTTATCCTCTCTTGCATGAAATATAATGTACAGTAGAGGACACTGTTTTTAACACCTTGACAGCGTTCAGTAGAAAAGTAAATCTGTCAGGAGGTCTGGGTTTTTGAATCTGAAGGCTTATGATTTACACACTCATAAAAAGATATTCAAGAGCGCAGTTACCTTCTGCGTAAATCTTCCAGTACCTTTGCATCGGTTCGTGGACTAAACGGAAAATACAAAAGAGCGATAAGAAAATACGTAAGCAGCTTTTGAGAGGGCATGTTTCCCATTTGACTGAAAATCTTAAGGTAGGGGCCTCTCTCTTTACTCTAAACGTTTCATTCAGTCGTCATCATTTATATAGCCATCGTTTGTTTGAGTTCGTCTATATTTTTTTTATTGTTATCGGATTCTTAGGTTAAACAATAGGTACATTTGTAAAAATGCATCGAACGAGGTTGACAGCTAGACTGAGAGCCGTACCGGCTCAATGATTGATAAAAAAGTGGCGAGTGATAAGGATTCAACTAATTTGTAGAGTATCGCTATAAGATTTGCATGAAATATATAAATTCCCTTTATTTCCCGTTATAATATCACGTTGGTGGTAATGCCTTGTATACTCATGTCGGATTAGGTAATCTAACTTAATTCGATCATCTCTAATGCACTTTCCGATACTAATGATCATCAGTTCTGTACAAGTACTTTGAATTGACCCAACCGGCCTTTAACGGGAGATATCTTGTGGAGTATATAACTTACTTTTTTTATAGATAATATGGAACCACTGTGAATACTCAGTCGGTAGTCCAGCAGAGGCTCGCGGGCAAATCACTCATTTTAGACATATGATAATACAGTATATAGAAAAGTTAAGCTGTTAGCTCTTTTAAAGAAAGATTGGCGAAGAAGTGAGTATAATACATCTTTCTTAGCTGATGCTAAGCTCCGAAACAAATGAAAATTAAACATATTTGCATAATTTAAAGCCCAAACATGGAACGAAGCAATTTACCTGTATTTTTTCTGGAGTAAATGCATCAATAAAAATATTCTAAAAACTCCATTAAGGCACTCCCAAACACGGTTTCAATTTTCCTGCATTCATTTGTTCAGCTTCGCAGGAACATAGCTTAGGGATGACATGACATGATTTTCACTGGACAGAATTAAGTATAGCTAGGGTATTTTTCCTCCAAGGCTGAAGGCGGAGGTGGATAACAGCCTCTTTGTATGTATTCGTCATATCATACGAATACCGAATTCAATAATTGTTTTATTATTCTTCAAAATGTTTTTAAGTTCTCAACAAGGCTGCCCCCTCGTAGACTTTCTTCTTAACATTGGCCTATTTGTCGATACGGTTTCAGGATCATGCAGACGTTTTTTTGTTTCAGATACTCTTCAAAAAGTAGACAACATCCATCGAGCAACATATTTTGGGTATTGCCGCATTTCTCCGATTCAGCTTTGGTCAGAAATTTAGTCATTAATGGTCCCTGAATAGCCGTAAAAGCTATTTTTTAACTCAGTCGGGAACTTGGTTCATTGATGGGATATTTGTCTGGAGACGAGGTTGCTTGGGCAATATACAATCGGAGCGACGGTATATTGCTCTCTTCTTCCAAATTTGGGGTACATTCCAATGGGATCATCCGGGTCAGGATCAATGATCCGAGATCACGCGGATCATGACGCATCAAAGGAACCGACTAATCCACTCTGGGAAAGGAGCCATCGGTTCACTTGATTTTCCATGATCTGGCCGAGTGATATTAGATCACTGATCCTGATATGGATCATCCCAAAGGAACGCAACTTTGGTCAACACCGGCTGGTTATAAAGAATAAGCCGGAGGATTCAGTTTCAGCCAATCAGACGAAATAGCACAATATTTTGAATGAAAGATCTTAGGCAATAAAGCATTGAATGGATTTGTGCGTTGGCGAGTGACTTGGTCAACTCTGAGGCTGGCACAAGAATGACATCGACACATTTCAAGAGTATTGCAATTTCATGCCGCGAATTTTATTAGCTCATCATACTAATAGAATTAATACACTTGAATAAGCCATAGTTCATTAAATCCGTTGTCGGTGACACCATAAATTCCTGGTTGGCTGTGTCAATCTGTACAAACAAAGATAATATGACATTCAAGAATCACGGTTAACACTTGAAAATTATTTACTAATACGACACTGCATGTCAAGTTAACCTTACACACGGTCAATTTGAGAACAATTATCGAAATTTTTAAGCCTAAATTAATTAAGAATTTCACCAACTCATTCCTTCCTTCCTTCCTTCCTTCCTTCCTTCCTTCCTTCCTTCCTTCCTTCCTTCCTTCCTTCCTTCCTTCCTTCATTCATTCATTCTTTCAGTCATTCATTCGTTGGTTCATTCATCCAACCATTCACTCATTAACGCTCGCAGGCTTACCATTAACGCATTTCTCAGCCGCAAAGGCTGCATTTGAGTTTACAATTCTCTCGCACCGAGGCTGTCAACACATATCCAGGGAGGCAAAAGCCACTCAATCGATCGCATTCACTCTGGGACCAACTGTTAGAACAACCTACGGATAAAAGTAAAACTATCATTACGTATACGCTATCGACTACAGGATAAGACCTCAAGAAGTCCATGAATAGCCGTGAATCCTTTGCACTATCGTCATAACTTCGCTCTTGTCTTTAACCGCAACGTAATTAGCTCAGTCGGTAGTGCGCCGATTGCAGAGAGAAAGGTCGTGGGTTCGATTCCTGGGGCCGGACCATAACTCGGTGTCTAAAAATAACTGAGAAATGAAGGTTTTTCCCTCGCCGAGTCTGAGTAAATGTCGAGAGTCGAGAGTAACAAGTCGAGAGCCTGAAATAATAAATAATTATAATCGTGATAATTAATAATAATAATAATAATGATAATAATAATTTATGCCATGGTCCCTGAACATTCTAAAAAGAATAATAAATTTAGTGATTAGAAACCTGTAGTCGTAATAAAAGTTAGCCATATATATTTTTCTAAGCACAATTTGCCATGCAGGGATTGTCAATGTATATGCGTCATTGACCAATTTCTTTTTTGCGTTTTTGTGAACCAAGACGAATTCGAGGTCAATAACAACGCAAAAGTGAACGAGACCAATATCCAGCCATCTTGACCGAACGAGCTTGGTCAATAAGAGAATTGTTCTTGCGGAACGAACGCGGGAAATCCCGAATAGGCACGTTGGGCTCATCTTGCCCGCTCGGGTAGCCAATCAGAACACAGAATGCGCTTCATCTTTCCCGTTTGCGGATTCAGCCATATAATATTTTGTGCCTTGTCTTGGTCTTTTTTCGTGGCTGATGGACCCAGTATTTCAGCCTTTTTTACTCCCATTCTGGAGAGTCCTTAGAGGCTTACCATGGTAGAAACTTTTTAATTTTTTTAAAAAAAACTGTTTTTTTCTTCAGATGTCTGTTAAACGGAAAAAAATTATTAACCGTTAGGCACAACAAAGCCGAAATATTAACCGTTCACCGTAAATATCTCCACCCCATTGAGACCCCCATATCAAGGTTCAACAGCCCTACATTTTACATGTTGTAAGTATGTTAATGAACAATGACAGGAGCCGATTACCCAAAGTCCCAATATGTGATATAACATTGAGACAACCCTTTCCCGTTTTCTGACAATGATAACGATAAATCTGAATAGTAAGTTATCACAATAGTGTTTTATATTCATACTTGAACAACGTGGAAAATACGTACTAAGAGACAACTGTCTCAAACTGAATCAGAGATAAAGTAATTGCACCTAGACATCCGAGTCATCGACGAGAGCCTTCATATCAAAGATAGGAACCAAATCCACAACCAATAACAAATAGAAATTTATGGATCCACATTTTGCCATATTGTTATGTGCAAATCTGTTATTCTGAAACAGTAGCTATCAAGTCGCAAATAAATTCCAAACAGGTATTAAAACATTATTCGTAAGTGGTCAGATACATTAAGTATTACTTCGTCACGATCGTTCTTGTAAACGCAATTGGGAGCATGTTCATACCCAAATGATCAAAACGTAATATACCTAAAAATAAACCTTACTTCGAATAAATGAACTAAAACGGGTAAACGTGATAAATAAAGTATGGTGTTGTTGTGGTTCTTTCTCCGAAGTTTTAGCGCGATTTAATTGTATGACATCCCGCAGTATAACTAAAACACAATCAGGTCAGATGATGTTATACTGATCCAATCGCGCTGGAACTTCGTAGAATAAAACACAACAACACCAAATAACAATATTTATGCTGATAACTTTCACCTGTAACGCTTGCGCCACCCGTGTACATATAACGCGGTCATATCTCCTCTACTAACTACCTTTATATCGAGTAAAAATTTGAAGTATATGGTTGATTAATTACTTTTGCTATTGTATAAAATATTACTGTAACTGCCTTAATGATACGTACTAAAAAACCTTTTAAAGCTGATTTTACCTGCTGCATCTGCGCAGGTTGTCTTTCCATCTCCTATGTATCCATGGTTACAAGAACAATTAAACGAACCCAATGTATTTACACAGGAAGCCAGACTAGGAAGGCAGTCATGGACTCCATCGTCACATTCATCGATATCTGTAAGAAAATGATTTTTCACAGTTTGATTTGAGTTTCGAGAAAAATGCTCGGCTTCATCTCTCCTACATAGTATAGTATATAGTATATCAGGGGCACCCCACGTCAATTTTCGAATTTTCTGTTCGGAAGACGATTTGAGACCTAGAATCTTTGGAACATTTGTTATTAAATTTCTTGCTTGCCTGCCTTTCCTAGGATTTTCGAACATCTAAAAAATGGTATAATTTCCCATTTTTAACGGTTTTTTACCCTAAAAAGGTCATCTAGAATTTTCGGGAGCCTTTTTTGTGGCAGAAATTTTCGAAAAGGTAAGTTCTGATCCCTATAATTTTCGGATCACTAGACTCTCAGCTAGGAAATCCGAAGAGATGAAAAATTTTTAGGGGATAAAAATATGCCTATATCTACCGTTTAAATACTAAAATACGTTTAACAATGCTATGTTTAAGTGGTTTTGAACTATATTCTCTTTGGATGCCCCTGGTATATAGCCACTCTACTGCTCCTGGTAGGGGAGATGATGAAGCCGACTATTTTTCTCGAAACTTTGTGTGCATATTAAGGACAACAACAACTCGCCTCATGGAAAGTTTCATCGATTTTTGTGTCCATTTTCTAGGAAATTTCCAGACCTAAACTTCGCCCCATATGTTCTCTGTATTTACTCACGCCATGAAACCCGTGACACAAACAGTGAGCCTGGGTTACCTGTGTTTAGAGTTCATTTCCCCTCCTCTTTGTAATTGTTGTGTCCGTGAATGTGATGATTTCCTGCTCTGCTTTGTCACGCGTTCTTGTAGGATGTTGAATTCTCACGGGTAGCGATCTACATATTCGAATTTAAACGGTATAAAAAGGGGTCTGTAGGCCTAAAAGACTTTTTACCTCATGATGTAAAATGTCGCTTGTTCGATTATTTTCTTTCTAGCAGGTAGATTATGTTGTAGAGCAAATTTTATTTTTGCGGCTGGTCTCCTCTAGTCTCACGTTGAGAGGTCATGAAGCTGACCTATTTCAGGCATATTGATTAATTATTTCCTGTCATTTTTCTTCCTTACAGCATTTATCTCTGATGTGATGCAGTTTGATTAAGCATTTTCTTTGGCTTCGGTTCGAGGATCACGACGCTTATATGATGAATTTGTACTAGAAAGAATTCGCTCCACTCTTCCAGAGTGCAAGAGTAAATGCTGAATAAGTTATTTTATTTATGCTATCTTTCCGTGCAGTGATTTCGTATTACTTAATTTTGTTTCGGCCGATAGCCGCATTACAAGTGGCCGCAATCAAAATTCACTTCTACAGTAGCTCTCGGCCAAATTTACTTTGTTTTAGTTTTGATCTCAACCAATCACAACGCACGATACCTGTATCCAGAAATGGATATCTCCCGGACTGAATAATATCCAGGGAAAGGAGGTAGTTCTTAATTTGGCCTCAGTACGGGGACGTGCCGCCAACAAAGTATGGTTTTTGCCCTCTGTTCTTAACAGGGTCTAAACAACCTATACGGGGTTTTGGCGGATTTTTCGTAAAGAAAAAAACAGTATGTAAAAATGTCGGATATCAAATCTAACACTAAAGCTAACAGTTTTTCCTGATTAACATCTCAGCCGGTCTGTCTCTTACAGCATTATCATCGTTCTTCTGCTCCAGTAGTAAGCAAGTCTATCGAATTATTCAAATTAGTATTAATACGGCTCACATTTACCTTTCTCGCAGTTTTCTCCAGTGTAGCCAGATGCGCAAACACATCCGTACCTTTTGTCGGTGTATTTAAAATAGCACTTTCCGTTGTTAAGACAAGGATGGGTGTCGCAGATATTCTGAGTGAAAAAAATATATGCAAACTATACTCCCTTTCCTCACATTCACATGCACAGTTTTCTTAGACCATAAATCTTTTTACATCCAGTACGCAGTACAGNTTCTCGCAGTTTTCTCCAGTGTAGCCAGATGCGCAAACACATCCGTACCTTTTGTCGGTGTATTTAAAATAGCACTTTCCGTTGTTAAGACAAGGATGGGTGTCGCAGATATTCTGAGTGAAAAAAATATATGCAAACTATACTCCCTTTCCTCACATTCACATGCACAGTTTTCTTAGACCATAAATCTTTTTACATCCAGTACGCAGTACAGTACATTTTATTTGTTACGGCTTACTGTTTGTTGGAGCCATCATGTTAATTCCGCATCTGCATGACACCTTGGACAACCTTATCGAGACAGGTGTTATTAATTTGGCTTATGTTCGTTCAAGCTTAAGTTGGCTCGATAGGGTTTTTCAAGGTCAATACCTCCCAACTTTGAGTATAGACTACGTTGTTATTAACAAAGATTTGGAAAAATTATCAGCACAGCTGTATTAGATAAATTTGTTAAGATCAGGGTTTCTATGACTTCGGAGTTGTCATAGCAACGAAATGACATCATTAGCTATTATACTTGCAGCCGTAATTCTCGGCACTGGGGACTTTTTTTTCCAAAATTGTTCACAAGAGCTTTCTCCTCGAATATAACTGCCTCGATGTTCGTGAAGTGTGAGCAAAATCTATGAAAGGGTTTTGGAAATATTTTGAAATAAAACTTTATGGCTAGAAATACAGTGGTTCGATATATGATGCATTACAGGCATTAAAATCGTTTTACAAAAACATTTACCCAGTCTCTAAAAATTCCGCAAACTTGAAAGATGTATGTTTTCAGTTTCTTAATCAATTCTTGTTAAAGATGGCGACTTGAGCAAATCTAATGGTTTGTGAGTTCCACAGTTTAGGGGCGCACACTGAAAAAGCATGTCGCAGGTATTACATACAGCACTATAAGTCTTTTTGCCTTTCACAGTTTTTCTTAGCAGAAATGTACGTTATTTAAAAGACCCATAGGAAAATGGTCCAGAGACACTAAACTAAAGCCGCAGTGAAATTTTATAATACTGAGTGGTCGGCCATGAATGGGGCTAGGACAGAAAGGGGATAAACTTTTCTAAGATCTACTGTTACGAGGATTAAAAAAGCCAACTGGTTTATCTCCGGTCAGTTGGGATCCTTAACCGTTGTGGACCACACTAAAAACTACTCGTTTACTAGTAATTGTGTTACCCTTATAAAGTCAGGTTTTTCATATAATTTAGTAAAAGGTTAGGGTTAGTGAGTTCCTATGAGAGGAACTTAAAAAAAGACTGTTTCTATTTTAATTCAAGTTAAACGGAGTCTCACTCACCGGAATATGAAAGTGATGAAATTCCTTGCTGGTGTTGAATTTCTCTGAGTTGTTATACTTGTCCGATGCGAGTAGTTCACAGAGAAGTTTTCCGTTGTCGTCAGGAGAGGTAGCCATGTTGTAGGAGAAACATGTGGGAATTTTTAGACAGGCGAAGGCACAATCGTCCTCTTCTTGAACACGATTCCGTCCAATACTGGTGATGTTCAGGCGGGAAAATTCATTGATCATGAAGTTAACATATAAAAATTCACCAATGGATCCCTCGCTGAAAGCTTTTTCGGAGAAAACGAACAAATGGAGACTATGAGAAATGTAGGACAAAAGTATAGCCGACTTAAAACAATGTGAAATAGAACTCAGAGTTCGTGTACCTTCAGAGTCATTTAGAAGGGTGGAAAATATTCCAATTAAGAACAAGTAGTTTCTCAGTACTACAGGGTTCATCTTTCTTCGCCTCTTTTTCTTCCTGTGCAATTCTCTTGTTTGTCCGTGTTCAAATAAATAACTTCTTAACTACATTACTTAAGTGCGTTCTATGTGTAACCTTAAACTACGTCAACGGGACACAGAAGGATAAAAAAAAAAATTGCCATTAATATCTAACTAACAATTCCTTGTGACAACCTGACTCTCGAAAAATTGACGAGCGGTTACAGTGATCAATTCAGCTCAATCAATTTACGTTCGTTTTCGAGCTGAGAGCATAGCCGTTTATTTTCATATTTTCCATTGGTTAAAATGACTCTTAGTTACTGAATGCTGGATAAGACTCTGTTAAGTTGTTTGTAGTTTCTTCTTAACAAAAATAACCTCGTCAGTTCTTTGTCCAATGTATTATTTATTATTTAAGTATTAACGCCGAGAATGCAGCTGAGAATATATTGAAATATAGGTAGCCCTCAGTAGAGTTGTAAATTTTGTAAACTGCCACAGGGCTTATGGCGCAGTTTGCAATTAATGAAGTGATGAGTAAGGAATGCCCCTTAATGTGAATGTGAATTTGAGATAGAAAGGCACCACACTGAGGACTACGTCCCGTACTAATAACTTACGAACATTGAGTGGGTTCTTTAACGATGTGGGTCACAGAATATTTATATGAGCAAGACAGGTGGTAAGATGGGGGATATATTTTATCGTCCTTTTCGTAGAAGACTAGAACGTCGAGCCCTTCGCAGATGTCATAACAAAGGCCGCACTTTCTCCTCAGTATTCAGTAAAGACCCTGAGGGTCGGTTATTTAAACAAAGTCTAACTTCCTCTAGACCCGCGCGGTTTTAAGACTCTTAGCCGTAGGCCTCCAAATCCGTTTATACAGGGTGTTTATTTTAAGTAGGGGTTGTAGATGAATGGTTTTCTAGTCCGGCTAAGCCCTCTTGACGCTGTGAATAGCAAACGATGTTTAGGTGTGCGTTGGCCAAATTTTAAAGGGCCTAAAACGCAGTTTTGTTAAACAACATCTAAACACTGTTTTAATAACCGGCGCTTGGTGTTTAATTGCCCATGCTTCCAATTCATCAACGTTTGTCCATCAGTAAAAAAAAACGTTGTTTGTGTATAGTACCACCTGGGCTGAGTCCTGAGGAGTCTGGCAAATTATCACCTTGTTTAGTTATGTACACTTTTTTCCAATTTGACGGTTTGACACGTGGTCAATCGATTCAATTGACCACATGGAAATATTTCTGATCGGGTCCGAATTGGACTAAAACTAAAAAAATAAGGAGTTATGGTCAAAGTATGTATTCGTTTACTAAATTTAGTTAAAATGACACTTATTGTCTGAATCATGAAATGTGGATGAAACAAAGCCTTTACAATTTTCTTGTATGAATAATTGCGATGCAAATGACTAGACTAACCAGGCCTTGCCCAGACCTAAGTTTGGTCAATTACCTGAGATACTGTCTACGATTGAACTATGTAATGAAAAATCCCAAAACGTTTGCTATAGTGTTACGAAAATTGCGAAAATAACGAAAATAACAAAATTTTGCAGGGCCTTTAACAAAAGTGACAAAGAAATGCGAATCAGAGGCCAAGAAAGGCCCTCGACGAAACAGACAAAATTACAAAAATTGCGAAAATAACGACAAAAAAAGATCGAAGGCATATTCTCCCATGTTTCTCTTGTTGCAATCAAAATTTACACGGCGCACTTCACTTATAGAACGCTGCATACCAGCAATGTTGCTTCGTGGATGTGTTATTCAGTGGCAGATCCAGACCTTCAGATAAGGGGGGGGAGGGGGGGGAACGATGCAAATTTGTACTGTCTTGATTACATCGAGACACGATTGAAACGCTCAAATATCGAGTCTGATCTTGAATTTGTCCGTCCTCAAGCCGTGTCTGAAAAAGTTACCTCCATCTCTGCAAAAATAATCGAAGTCGGCGAGCTACTGGAGACTTGCTACCCCCATCTGTACAACAACGTCTCTAAACAACTTAAGGTGAAGCTTCGAAGCGAGGTGATCGTTGGTGATATTTTCCGCAACTTTGGCCGCGAACTCTTTCGAGAGGGAGTCACATGGGGAAGAATCATCGCGTTCTTTGCATTCGCTGCGGCTGTAAGTGCAGACTGTATACACCAGGGACGACCCGAGCTGGTTAAAACAGTGTTAAACTGTGTGCGGCTATATGTACTGGATCATTTGGCAGTTTGGATTAGAAGTCAGGGTGGCTGGGTAAGCTCTTAGTATATATTTGTGCAAAAGTTAGGGTAAATCTGAAATCTTAACATCGAGTATAGCCCTTTTCAAGGATATTTAAGTTCTTATCTGTTGCGTGAACTAAAAAACAGGAGCAAAACAATATTTTCCGAAAAAACCTTAAGGAAAAAAAATACAAATAAAGGGGTTATCTTTTCTATCGCAACAATGACTAAAGCGTTTTCTGCTATCAAAGCCCGCGGGGACACGATTCAAAGTTTACGAGTAAACAGACGTTATTTTTCGCTCGATATACTATCAATGAAAAAATAACACACAGCGAGGAAAAAATCCAAAAATTTTTTCAGCGTTTGAATATTTATGACTAAATTACTTGATTTCTGCCCTTCCGAGCATTAAGGTAATATCAGTAGTTTTTTAATTTTTGAACACAACTCTGGATGAAGTTAATTTTTAGAGAGAAATAAAACCTGAATTCTTAACCGAAATGCAAACTACAATCAGCCTTTCTTCTTTATAGCAGCCAGTAGAGTAATGAGAGAATAGAAACAAAGTGACAACGAAAACAAAGGAACTATTGAAACATTTGCATATATCATTAATCTTCCCTTTACTGTCTAAAAGGAAAATGATGATGAGTATGCTCTCTTATTTCAACATCAAATATAAACACCGGACACAATCGAAGGAAAAGAAAGAAAACTTAACGTATTCAAACGTTTTACTTCTAGCTAATTTTGACAACGTTATTTCCGAAGATCGTCGAAACGCCACAAGAAGATTTATGATAATTCCCTTAACTTTCAGCATATTGTCGAAGGCGCTCTTTTCACGTAAAGTTGGGTTTCGCTAGCGACGAGTCGAAATAAGGCTTCATGGGCTTGACGGAATCGGAATCAGAACGTTTTTAATGCTTTACTTTTACGCTTATGACCCTGTTTAATAAATAAATAAATAAGTAAATAAAGTGACGATCGAAGTTTCAGAATTATCAATCTCACTGATTGACTCCATGCGGTTAATATCTTGTCATGCAGTGAGCTAGGATACTAAAGAAATGTACCAAAAACTATGATGCATGTCACTCAGAACGAGAGTCTTTGTTACCGTTCATGTGACAAGGGTGTACCACAATTTCAAACTTTTTTCCAATCTGTTTAGTCTCAAAAATAGAGGCTAAGAAAAACGGGAAGCGAGACGTGACATGACGAAACCAAATCTCGTATCCAGAGTCCTCGGGCTCTTTGGTCAGCGGGAATTCGCCAGGGGTAGTGAAATTGGACAAAACCGAGAACGCTGCTTGATTTGCGAATACATACAACATCAATGATAGAAATGTGATGGGGAATTTTAAGTCTGGTGAAAACAGTACACACCATCGCCTGCCGCCTTGCCTTATTTGAAACCAAGATGGTCGCTTGCATTGCAATGATGAATTTACCCTTAGCCATCCTTGGTACTGATCAAACTGATTGCAGCCTTGGGGCAANTTTCACGTAAAGTTGGGTTTCGCTAGCGACGAGTCGAAATAAGGCTTCATGGGCTTGACGGAATCGGAATCAGAACGTTTTTAATGCTTTACTTTTACGCTTATGACCCTGTTTAATAAATAAATAAATAAGTAAATAAAGTGACGATCGAAGTTTCAGAATTATCAATCTCACTGATTGACTCCATGCGGTTAATATCTTGTCATGCAGTGAGCTAGGATACTAAAGAAATGTACCAAAAACTATGATGCATGTCACTCAGAACGAGAGTCTTTGTTACCGTTCATGTGACAAGGGTGTACCACAATTTCAAACTTTTTTCCAATCTGTTTAGTCTCAAAAATAGAGGCTAAGAAAAACGGGAAGCGAGACGTGACATGACGAAACCAAATCTCGTATCCAGAGTCCTCGGGCTCTTTGGTCAGCGGGAATTCGCCAGGGGTAGTGAAATTGGACAAAACCGAGAACGCTGCTTGATTTGCGAATACATACAACATCAATGATAGAAATGTGATGGGGAATTTTAAGTCTGGTGAAAACAGTACACACCATCGCCTGCCGCCTTGCCTTATTTGAAACCAAGATGGTCGCTTGCATTGCAATGATGAATTTACCCTTAGCCATCCTTGGTACTGATCAAACTGATTGCAGCCTTGGGGCAAGAGATTGGGCTGCCTGTTGTAGTAAACCGTCGATCTTACGGAAGAAAAAGGGACTCAAAACTTCTGGAAATAGTCTAAACACATTACATCACATGTACAAAAATTCATTTATTATTTGTAATATATTTTCGGTTGGATTTTTGAAAACGTTACTGTCCGAAGTCCTTGTCGCTCAGCAAAATCTCCAGAGTAGCAAATATAAAAACTAAGAGTTCAAACTTGTGCTTTTTTTCTCTTTTTACTCTCCTAGCTTTTCCTTCTCCTTCCGTGCTGTGATTTTTGGGCTTATCGGATGTAAGAAACTTGAAGTTTTTGTCTTTTTCAGTCAAATGCCTGCAATTTTCGCTAGCTACGTTTTCAACTATCC